AATTAAGTTAGTCTGTTCTGGAGCGCCCAAATTGGCAGTAGAAAGGTGTGGCAAGTTTGGCAAACATAATTACAGATAAAACTGAGCGAATAACAGAGATGTTTTAACTGATCAAAATTGTAACTTTCTACTGTCAATTTTGCTCAGTCCTCACCATAATGTATTCTGTTTAATGGCTACAAGTGTTAGCTTGTTATTTTCTAAACTGTAAGAGGAAACAAAAATATGTATTTTTTCACATTAATGTTAACGTTGAAAAGACCAATAATCTGATCTGGTTAAACACAGATTCCTTAATGTAATATATTATTTAAGTAACAAGGAATTAGGCAAAGTTGCATGTATTTATTTAATGATGTTTAAAGGAGTACAGTAAAACATGCTAACCTTTTCCCATTACAACGATCATCATAATCATTCAAAATCAATGTGTTGGGAAAAGGTTACCTAAAATGGGAGAATGAAAAACGTAATAAAAATAAACTGCAAATGCAAAGAAATTATGTAACAGCATGCAAAGATTATTGGATCAAATACTACATTTTGGACTGTTAAAACACTGAGCTAAGCCGATTGTTCTATTGCTTAGAAAATCTCTGAACGGATTATAATAAAATACATTATATATCTATATTTTACATAATATTTCAGACACTGGACAAAATATCCAAATTTGATTGGAGACTGCATATATTGGCTTCTAAATATTAGTGAATAATACAAGGACATTTTGTTTTATTGAGATTTCAGACAGGTTTTTGATAAGACGATTACAATGTTCTTGAGTTCATCCATTTGATTTAACATTGTAATGGCAGACTCACTTCATGACTCACACAAGGGCACACTGATATTTAAAAACTCTTACAAAAAGCCCCATGCCAATATTCTCAAGGTGCTTTTTCATTAGACTTTGTTGAGTCACACTTGTGAGAAGAATGCAGTATTTCATTATCCATCTCTTATCCATACCTTTGACATACCGCATGTGAATACTGACACTAACTTATAAAAAATTACAATGGGTAATAAAGGCATGCAATAGTGAACATTTCACAGTATAATGTCGAAGACAATATTTTTCTTGTCAATGACACAGCGGTCATTTGAACTACATTAATGTATGAAAAGAATACTGACGTTTTCCACTCACTAAACACCAGTTAGAGTTGAAAGGAGATCCCTTTTACCCATGCATCAGAGTGACACGCTGAACGGTGAGTGTTTCATGTAAATATAGTGCCTAATGACACAGTGTAAAAGCACAGATGCTATTATACCGCTCCAACCAAAGGTCATCTCTACAGCCTGCCACGTCCTAGGGTGGGGCCCTGCTTTCCATCGCGGTTACTCGGCCAGCCTTTAGCTCTGACCAAAATGACAGACGTTATTTTATCTTCAGATTTTCTGCTGGGTTTTGCAGTCCGAGAATGCTGGGAATCATCTGGGAAGCGAATGTGAAATTGCCAGAGCCCGGGTGATTAGTGGCATTGTCCTAATGGCTAAGCGTTTCGTTAACTTTGTTTACTTTGAACACCAAAGCCATAGCTTCCTGTTGCTATGTGCCGCAATAATGATAGGTGGTGTTGAGCTGTTCCGGAAGTGGCCGAGGTATCCACGCCAGTGTGCAGTGTGCAGTGAGAGACAGGAATCCCTTGTGCCAAAGACCAACCAAAAATAATATAAATAATTTTGAAGCGGTATCAACAGATAATACATTTTTACTCTACAAATCTCTTTGAATGAAATGTCCAATGGCGGTGTAATATCTGAATTAATGTCCTTTACACTTGCAGATGTTCATAGTTTGAACATTCGAACATTGCAGCAGGCCACGACAGCAAAACATTGAAAACAGATGCTGTCAACAACATGTCAATCAACACATGCTTACATTGTTGTAGTCCAACTGACATCCAAAACACACAGAAAAGGCGAAAGGGCAAGTTGCGTGGCGGTCCCGATATGCTGTGAACTACGTCCAACACGCTGTGTTTCCGATTAAGGCCACGAGACACATTCCGGTTTCTTGAACTCTTCCAGGCCAGGGCATCAATACTTACAAGGCAGGTTCAGCGCCAGCCACGTCATATGATCTCATATGACTGACCATGCCATGAGGAAGGAATTACCATACGTTCAGGGCTTGTTAGTGTGACTTTGATGTACACCTCACCTTCCTCCCAAGTGTGCCCAAGGCTTGAGTTTTACACTCAGGGAGCAAATAAAAAACTGGGAACATGAGGCATCGTAATTCATATTTGGCCCTGGACACAGCAGGCCACTCCTTTGATCAGTCTGCGTGGAGCTTTCATTGTGGCAAAGTGTTCAGGATGATTCATCCTAACAAACACTAACTAATCTCCATTTTGTCTTTGGAAAACATAAATCAAGCATCATCCCAGGACGTTCCATAAAGTGTGTGCATGTGGCTTGCATGAAAGTTCTGTTGCTTTAGTGTTCATCTGCAAGCCGCATTTATAGCCATGCTCCTTTCAAAGGTTCATACTGTATGTTATTCGGGCCATGTGTTTTGAACTGCACGTGAAGCCAAGCAAATACTAAACAGAACCGTGTACTTATAGGAACTGAGATAACAGACCGATAACACGCTGCTCTGATCCAAACATTTGCAGATAACGTTGCTATGGAGTTTACACACAGTATGTATCACAGTATTCCATGTTGCAATTCTGTCTGTTGTTGAAAATGCAAAACTGGCATAATTAAAATTAATGGTCTTTCAAGAGCATTTAGTCTTCAAATTATAATGGTCAATGGCAAACCTTGAACAACATTCAAGCATTGATCCCAAATGATGTGGACATATTGTGCTTGACTAGATTAGGATTCACATACAGATATGTCAATTTAGCGATTACTAAATCATTTTATATGGATTATGTTTAGCACTGGCATTTTTATAAATTAGAACTAAAAACGTCTGATCTTTTTTAGAGATGTAGAGATAGAGATAGAGAGAGACTGAATGTTAATTAGGACTGTGTGAGAGTTAACTGCAGTAGTGTCTGTGAGCCATTTTGTATGTACACTGAAGTGTCTGAACAAACACGATTAGAGATTATTTTAGATCACTCAGTCAAAAATGATTGGATAATGTCTGAAATAAGTTAACTGTTATGAGTGGAGGAATAGACAATTGGGGGGCTTGTTTCGGTGCTTTAAACCAGGTATTAATTTTTTTGTCCAGTCAGGAAATCGTGCATGCAAGAGAATAGATTCCCTGGAGCTCAAAATCCTTCCCGGGAGAAAGTTTATCTTTTAATGGGTGAGTGGAGAGCGACCAGACTGAAGAAATATATACCTGCACAAAGTCCTGAGAAATCTAATGTTTACGGCAGGACTACAATGCTGTTCATTACACGTCTACTAGTAGGGAATGTGGGAGCGCACGGTTAAAATATTCAGGTAGAATATCTCACTTAAAGCACTGACAAGTTCATTAACGCATGCAGGGCACGTAAATTGAGATACGCAAAAACTTGATTTGCATCTTGAATGTTGGTAACAATATGGGTGATTGTACGTATATTGATAAGCTTTTGTTGATCCTCCGTTGTTACGTTGGACCGGTGAAAGTAATGAATGATAAATACAGGGACTGGACATGCGAACAATTAGACCTAAATAAATTCACTGTTTTAGTCTAAGGCAGATACTTGCGCAGAGGTTCAAGTTGGAGGATTTTGGACAGTGTAAAATTATGATTTTGTGGGTTGGTCGGTGGAAAGTTGATTGAAAGGCTTATAATATGTGGAAAGAACAGACTGATATGCGGTCTAGGTGGAGTAGGGTAGGGCTTATTCAACGTGTCCTAGCTGCTCCATCTCCTGACTGACCCCAACCCAATCGCGGCATTCCCAAACCCGCCGTCACGGCACCAACTATGCCAGCAGTATTGAAACTGGCGGAACCAATTCCCAGAAAGAACTCTACCCTAACCATAGCCCTATGTATTCGGCCTCAACACAAATTCACGCTGGGAGAAATCGGAGAACTACAGCGACCTCTTCCAGCCAACGACACAGCATAGATGCCAGACAATTCCCTATGGTGGAGGTGACCTGGATAACCCTCTAACCATTTTAGTCTACAGACCGTGGTCGGCTACCGAACTGAGAGACGTGGCTTCTTTGCCGCCAGACCCAGAGAAAGAAAGTGGAGAGAAATTTGTTTCAACAGATTGTGGATCAATATAAACCGAACTCTGTGTAGATTGAACTGATAAAGGCCATGCAAATTAAGTGGGGTAGGTTGAAAGGGAACTGGCCTAGCCAGAGAAACATTGTGTTAAATTGGGGCGCGCACTCTAACTACCGGGGTGCTGGGGAAGAACTTAGCACTGGACTTATCGCTGCTTTTCCTAATCGAAAGAACTGGGAAACGATCTCTGATTGTAAGCAGACAATAAGCTACAGGATTGCAGACTACAGTAATAGATTTGAAAGGCTTTTGAAATACATTGTGATATGGGACGCAAGCCTGGTGGTCGGGAAGATTTGGCCTGGGAACAACAGTGTAAAATGGGGCTAGTTACAGGTCTTCTCCCGAACATTTGGAAGCACGTCTTAAAACCACTGTGTAGACCTGGATGAGGGTCGCAGGGAAACCGTCTGGCCGTATTTTAAGCACGCTGAAAGAGTTTATGAGGGCCAGTTGGACAAACAGACCGAGAAAGAGGGAAGCGTGAAACGTGAAATGCATCTTCAGATGGCCCAACGGGTCTTCTACAGCGGTGGCAACTCGACGGAGAGGACAATACAGAGACCAGGGGGAGGTAACTACAGCCAAAGTTTTATTCAGGTTTCCCTGTGCACGTGGATTCCTATTACATTGTTTGTTTCTAGGCCCTTTACCTGAACTACTACATTGGGTTTTCTTTGAAGTTGTACAAGACATTTTGGATTATTATTTTTTTTAATCTTTATTGAACCAGGTAGGCCGATTGAGAACAAATTCTCATTTGCAACGGCAACCTGGGGGGAAGCTGGGGATTGAACCCAGGATGTCATACACACAAAGCATGAACTTAACCACTGAGATACCAACTCCTGCTAATGTTTTCATTCCAGGGATGTTGATATAATGAATGTGGTTTAAATGTACTTCTGTTACGACCTTTTCTTTTTATATTATTGACTTTTGACTATATGTGAGTAACATGTTTGTGTAAAGATTAAGAGTTTCCTGAATGTTTAAGAGCAGAAGGTTAACTGTAGAACCCGTCTCTGTTTGTCTGTTTTGTTTGACCCTTCCTGGTTGGAAGTTACCTTTCTGTCTGTTTCGTGGTCCTCCCCCAAAGGGGACACCAGTTAGTAAGGGGGGTTTCATTACTGGATTGTAGTTAGCCAATTCCCAGAGCTACCAGGTGGCCTGTAGTAAACCAAACTTTAGAAGTGTTTAACTTTGTGGCGACGTTTTGTTTTGTTTAATTTGGGATACATTTATGCACGTTGTCTATGGCAGTTTCTCTCATGTTGATGAACTGTAGAAGGAACCCAGAGGGGAAAAGACATAATGGATGTAATGTTTTACATTTGAATGGTATGGTAGAGGAGAATAGATCATGCAACTTTATTTGGCTTAACAAAGTCCAATCTGAGCAGACAACAAAATGTAAATATATTGTAAGAAATGTTAACTGACATATAGTACATGGAGTCAAATAGTCAAAGGTTTAGCAGGTTTGTGTGTGCATTTCCAAGTCAACTGGTTGGGGCGTGAATGACTGGAGCAGGGCATCTGAGCCCTACCCCCCACACATCAACCAACTGGAGCAGGGCATCTGAGCCCCACACATCAACCAACTGGAGCAGGGCATCTGAGCCCCACCGCCCCCACACATCAACCAACTGGAGCAGGGCATCTGAGCCCCACACATCAACCAACTGGAGCAGGGCATCTGAGCCCCACCGCCCCCACACATCAACCAACTGGAGCAGGGCATCTGAGCCCCACACATCAACCACCTGGAGCAGGGCATCTGAGCCCCACCGCCCCCACACATCAACCAACTGGAGCAGGGCATCTGAGCCCCACCGCCCCCACACATCAACCAACTGGAGCAGGGCATCTGAGCCCCACACATCAACCAACTGGAGCAGAGCATCTGAGCCCTACCACCCACACATCAACCAACTGGAGCAGGGCATCTGAGCCCCACACATCAACCAACTGGAGCAGGGCATCTGAGCCCCACACATCAACCAACTGGAGCAGGGCATCTGAGCCCCACACATGAACCAACTGGAGCAGGGCATCTGAGCCCCACACATCAACCAACTGGAGCAGGGCATCTGAGTCCTACCACCCACACATCAACCAACTGGAGCAGGGCATCTGAGCCCCACACATCAACCAACTGGAGCAGGGCATCTGAGCCCCACACATCAACTAACTGGAGCAGGGCATCTGAGCCCTACACATTAACCAACTGGAGCAGGGAATCTGAGCCCCACACATCAACTAACTGGAGCAGGGCATCTGAGCCCCACACATCAACCAACTGGAGCAGGGAATCTGAGCCCCACACATTAACCAACTGGAGCAGGGAATCTGAGCCCCACACATCAACCACCTGGAGCAGGGCATCTGAGCCCTACCACCCACACATCAACCAACTGGAGCAGGGCATCTGAGCCCCACACATTAACCAACTGGAGCAGGGCATCGGAGTCCTACCACCCACACATTAACCAACTGGAGCAGGGCATCTGAGCCCCACACATTAACCAACTGGAGCAGGGCATCTGAGCCCCACCCCCACACATCAACCAACTGGAGCAGGGCATCTGAGCCCCACACATTAACCAACTGGAGCAGGGCATCTGAGCCCTACTACCCACACATCAACCAACTGGAGCAGGGCATCTGAGTCCTACCACCCACACATTAACCAACTGGAGCAGGGCATCTGAGCCCCATACATCAACCAACTGGAGCAGGGCATCTGAGCCCCACACATTAACCAACTGGAGCAGGGCATCTGAGCCCTACCACCCACACATCAACCAACTGGAGCAGGGCATCTGAGCCCCACACATCAACCAACTGGAGCAGGGCATCTGAGCCCCACACATTAACCAACTGGAGCAGGGCATCTGAGCCCTACCACCCACACATCAACCAACTGGAGCAGGGCATCTGAGCCCCACACATTAACCAACTGGAGCAGGGCATCTGAGCCCCACACATCAACTAACTGGAGCAGGGCATCTGAGCCCCACACATTAACCAACTGGAGCAGGGCATCTGAGCCCTACCACCCACACATCAACCAACTGGAGCAGGGCATCTGAGCCCCACACATTAACCAACTGGAGCAGGGCATCTGAGCCCTACCACCCACACATCAACCAACTGGAGCAGGGCATCTGAGCCCCACACATTAACCAACTGGAGCAGGGCATCTGAGCCCTACCACCCACACATCAAAAGCCAACTAAATGACATTAAGCCAGACCACAGAGGAGGTCAATCAAACAAGGACTACAAGGAAGCGTTTTTACACAAATACAGCAGATGAGGATAAATGAGGATATATACCTGCACACCATGATAACCAAGGACAAAGTCATCTGAGTGAAAAACATCTTCATCTTCTGATAAACAAAGGGTGTCAAATATGTACTGATGTGTTTTTTCTAATGTGTTTAATGATGTATTCCTCACACACCAGATAGACTACCAGACATTCTTAATGAGAAAAAAACGAGTAATAAACTTGGTTTAGGAATGAGGGCACTATAGAGTTCAATAAAGTTCAGGGGTTGGATCCATCTACAGGGTTCTCCTCTATGATTGGTTCAGGGGTTGGATCCATCTTCAGGGTTCTCCTCTATGATTGTTTCAGGGGTTGGATCCATCTACAGGGTTATCCTTTATGATTGGTTCCTGGTTCCTGACAGTGTTGAATAGTGCTAATTTCTGTAGTCACAGTTGATTATTTCCAATTATTGTGTATTATGTTTTTATGTTCGGTAAAAGTATGTTTCTTCACAGGTTACAGTTTCAGACACATGCCAGTGGTGAATCCATATATTCCTGATTGGTTATAAGTAATTACTTGGTTTTGAGTGAAGTAAAATGTTGAACTTGATGCCAACCAGAACTGTGTAAGAGAATTGTTGTCTCTTGAATCCTAACCATAAAGAGTACTAAAGTGGTTATTCATTTCCACCACAACACCCATAGTGTGGTTAGATTATCATGGCATTTCTGGGGAACAGCTAGAATCCAGTATATCATGTAGTGTCTAATTCATACACAACCTGATGCTGACAAATAAAATGATGAGTGAGGCTAATTACCGTTCGATATTTTCAATTCAAAGAGAAACGATAAAAGCAAAAAGTTATCTGAGACATGGTTAGTATGGAGATGAAGTATCTCAGGCTCTCTTCAGACCATAAGTGTCATATTCCAAGCCTATTTGCGTGTGTGTTTCTGGCTGAGACGTATGACAGAAGTGAGGGTGAGTGATATGTGGCCTTTGTGTACCCATCCACGTCTATTCTGATCTTATGCATATTTTCAAGGACCATTTCCCTATGTTGAGGACAAAAATCTGGCGTGATATTAATATTACTTCCAACTACTCTCAATTGCTATTTCCATAGCTTCTTTCCAAAGACGAATGACTGACTAGCTTTGAAAATCCATCAAACCAAAATCACTAGAAAGGCGTTCATCTTTTTTCAGATGTTCAAAACATTCTAACAATAACCACAGTATTGGCAACAGGCCTACAGTAACAAGAAGTAATAGAAATGCTAGTGTTATTTTAACTAATGTATTAAAATTACACCAAATTGATTACTTGTATAATAGGTAATTAAAACATACTTCTCACAGTTTGAATATCTGGGGCAAATTGACTTCCAACAAGGCCTTTCTAGTATTTTGGTCAAATAGGCACAATAGCGCCTGTACTTCTTAAGAAAGTTAAAGAAGCCCCACCCATCTACCAACATCCTGGTAAACGTTTACCGCTGCACGGTCGACAGCATTCTAACCAACTGTGCCACACTTTGGTACAAGAGTTGCTCTGCGGCCGACCACAAGTCCCAGCAGCAGGTGGTGAAAACCGCCCAGAACATCATTGGTGCTTAGCTCCCCGCCGTCAAAGACATCCAGCACAAGCGCTGTTAGCGGAGAGCACGTGGCATTATCAGGGACCGCTCTCACCATAACATGTTTGCCCCAACGCCATCAGGCAAGCAGTACAGATCCCTACTTCCCCTTAACAGCAGGCTTAGGAACAGTTTCTTCCCTACTGCTGTTAACATAATTAACTCTGAACCTCTTCATTAACCTAGCATACACTCTGCTACCTTATTTTTGTATCTAAATACCTGCACATTTACTTACCCATGTCAGTTGCACATCATTGACACACTCATTTGACTCGTACATCGGCTCATTGACACACTGTACTCCCTCTCATTCGACTCATACATCGGCTCATTGACACACTGTACTCCCTCTCATTTGACTCATACATCGGCTCATTGACACACTGTACTCCCTCTCATTTGACTCATACATCGGCTCATTGACACACTGTACTCCCTCTCATTTGACTCATACATCGGCTCATTGACACACTGTACTCCCTCTCATTTGACTCATACATCGGCTCATTGACACACTGTACTCCGTCTCATTTGACTCATACATCGGCTCATTGACACACTGTACTCCTTTTCATTTGACTCGTACATCAGCTCATTGACACACTGTACTCCCTCTCATTTGACTCGTACATCGGCTCATTGACACACTGTACTCCCTCTCATTTGACACATTCATTGACACATTGTACTCCCTCTCATTTGACTCATACATCGGCTCATTGACACACTGTACTCCCTCTCATTTGACTCATACATCGGCTCATTGACACACTGTACTCCCTCTCATTTGACTCGTACATCAGCTCATTGACACATTGTACTCCCTCTCATTTGACTCATACATCGGCTCATTGACACATTGTACTCCCTCTCATTTGACTCATACATCGGCTCATTGACACACTGTACTCCCTCTC